GTGGATAAATGCCTAGTAGTGCAATTGTTGGGTCGTAGGGTAGTACCCTTTTTAGTTTTTTGAGGAACCTCCATACTGTTTTCCGGAGTGGCTACACCAGTGTGCATTCCCAACCATCCATATATCTTCTGAACGAAAGTATCTTTATAAACTTTTTGCTCCATTTAATTAGGTTATTTACCTTCTTATCACTGAATTATAAAGGGTTTTTTTTTTTTTATGTTCTGGATACAAGTATCAGATACATGGTTTTCATGTATTATTTCCAAGTCTGCAGTTTCTTTTTCATTCTCTTGTTAGGTTTAGTGATAGCAAAGCTATCAGCAAAGAGATCAGTAGGATAAGGGGGAATGAGCTTTGCATACACATGAGAGAGCAGAAACCAGTCGTTACATACCAGAGAAGTCAGTGATCATGGGGCTAAAATTGATAGATCTGGTAGGGCTAGGAGAGGGAGAGAAATGCAGAATAAAAACAGCGAGCAATAGGGAGCCATGAAGGGAACCTTGAGCCTGGGGATGGCAAAACAAAATCGGAAATTCTACCTTGGGGGGTAGCACAAGAAGGACAGGGAGAAGAAAAGGCAAAAGGCGGGGAGGCCAGCTTGAATGGCAATAGGGAACATAAAGCGTGAGACTGTGGACTGTGATCTGGGCAAATGAGAAGTGAAGGAATACAGTGAATCAAGTAAGGAAAGAGAAAGCATCTTGACGAATTGAATACGAAGGATAAAAGTAAGGAAGAGACAATCATTATAGAAAAGCGAATAGATAGAGGGATCTGAGAGATGATGTAGTTCTACTCCTCATTTTACCGTGGAGAACCTAAGGCCCAAAGAGGAGCAGTGATTTTACCAAGGTCACATAGCGAGTTAGCAGCAGAGTCAGAGGCCATCCAGATCACTGGCGGCGGACCTCGCTGCCACCATTACCTTAACCCTAACTGGGAATTCAGGGCTCTGAAGTCTCTAATCTGGAAGCATCTCCCTTCCAGAAACTTGCTGGACAAAAGCATCTGTGCTTACTTCTCCCCTCCTTGCTCTTACCCACCACCCCGACTTTAAGAAGCAAGTGTGGTCCTGCGTGCTTTCTTCCCCCCACCTACGTACTTTTTCCTTCTTTGACCTGACAGTCACAGCACCAGAAGTTTTTTATGATGTAAGCCTACTCTGTCCTGGTTGGGGCAAGTATCAAATTAGAACTACAGGGGCGCCTGGGTGGCGCAGTCGGTTAAGCGTCCGACTTCAGCCAGGTCATGATCTCGCGGTCCGTGAGTTCGAGCCCCGCGTCAGGCTCTGGGCTGATGGCTCAGAGCCTGGAGCCTGCTTCCGATTCTGTGTCTCCCTCTCTCTCTGCCCCTCCCCCATTCATGCTCTGTCTCTCTCTGTCCCAAAAATAAATAAATGT